AAATCTCATATCGGCGGAAGATTATACTAAATTTTTCTCTGTGTGAATAATTCAACCAAGAATTGAGTACTGTAATGAGTTAAGGGCAGGAGGCACACAGACACAGCAGGCTAGCTAAGAGTAGCTACGAGTAACCTAAAGTCACGTCGAATCTTTGCTTACATGCAGGGGGTAAGGGCTCACTATGTTGACTTTGACTAGCAAAAAAACTAAGTTTAAAAATATATTGTTTGTTGGGTGCAGACCCTCTTAAAAATCACATTTCTGTTTTACTTTTTATAATAAGCAATAATGACGAGTAGTTCAAATATTATCAAAAGAAAAATAAAGATTCAAAATGGTAGCATTTTTATTGGCAAGAATGCATACAGAGCTGAGTACAGTGTTGAGTGATAAAAAGGATAGAGGTAAACAGTTGTCGGGAAAGAGTGAGAGGTCAAAAAAGAGGTGGTAAAAACAGTTGATGAGCTAAAAAACTAAAAAGAAACAGTTGGGAAAAGACAGAGTGGGCACCGTCAGCTCAGCAGTAAAAGAGACGGTGCTTGACCTTCTCGTGGAGGTGGGCCAGGCAGTTCAGCTTGGTGATGATCGCCTCCTCCTCGGTGGAGCTCACTGGGACGGCGCCAGAGCCAGAGCGTTTGCTGCCGCTGCTCAGCGTAGTGTTGCCCGGTTTGTTGCTGCCCAGCTCCAGTGCTCGCTGGGCCTCAATGTGCAGCTTGGCTCGGTAGGCGGCCAGATCGGCGTAACGAACAGCAGTGGGAATGGCGATGACGCTGCGAGTGCGAGTGCTGCTGAAGCAGCTGTAGAAGCAGAGTTGCTGCACCGCATCGGNTGCGAGTGCGAGTGCTGCTGAAGCAGCTGTAGAAGCAGAGTTGCTGCACCGCATCGGCGTTCATGTTCAGGTCGTCGTGGAGGATGACGTACTTGGTCGGCTTTGAGGTGCCCTGAAGAGAGGAGGGAGAAAATAATCGGTTGAAAAAGGATAATCCAACAACAAAAGTGAACTCACCAGTGGGGAAAAGTGGCTGTTGAGGTAGAAGCTCTTGAGAGTAGGGTCGACAATGTCCCGGTCGACGACAGTGCCCGAGGGCACATTGTAGGTGGGCTTGCGACCAGAGGTGTTCTGCTCGGCCAGGGCAAAGCGAGTGTGGTGACGCTTCTGCACAACAATGAGGACAAAGGGCAGGTTGGGGGCGCCCAGCTCGGCGCAGGCTCGGCGAATGAGCGGAATCTCAACGTCGACGACGCGGGCAAACTGGCCCTCGGAGACGCCGTCGCGAAAGACGACCAGCGTCGAGGGCAGCTCTCGACGAGCGTCCTTGTACTGCCGCAGCAGGTCGCCCACCATCAGATCGAGTTGCTTGATCGTCTCGTCGCGCTGCTTCGCCTGCACTCGAATGCTGGCATTGTAGAGGGCAAAGGACTGGTCGTAGGAGCCGACGGCGGCCGCCACCGAGGACATGACGCGCTCGGTCTCACCAGGATGGTTCACGTCCACGCCAATGACCATGGTGGAGCGAGTGTTGACCGGCA